TTCACCTCTGATTTTCATGTATTTAGGACTATTTTCAGGTTGTTTAGGCTTTTTCAATTGGTTCATGCCTTGTTTAATGTACTTGTGGTCTCATCAAGTTGGCATACTCCTTGTTTATTATGCTTTCTTTGTTTATTTTCCATGTTTGGAGCTTAAGTCTGCTAATCAATCAATCATTCCATACCTTTCATTCTTGAGAATGGTTTCAACCAATTGAGGTTGTTCAATGCATGTAAAAGAGACCTACACTTAATCGCTTAATCTCTTCAGAGATTTATCGTTAACGATGTAGTCTCCTTCTCATGTCATGGAAGAACCTCTTGTTTGACATCATTTCTAGTTTAGAGGACTTCAACATCACATTTGGACAAATGGACTAATGAATGGCAATGACTAAAGCAATTGGTTTAAAACTTGAATCAACACACCTAAAGAAAATGGCTTAAATAGCTTGAACTTGGCCGGACGTTGCACCAAGTTTCTTGTGTCAAGGGTCATCAAGCATCAATTCATGGTGTTTTTGATGTCCTTGAAGCGTCTTAACTTTCCTTTTTGAGTTCATTCCATGACAAAAAGGGAGGGGTGGTCCATTTGTATCACATTTATTGATTTTTGGTCCAAAATGATTTTCGAGATTATCAAGCGATCATATTGCTCATTGATGGTTTTGGAGACAATCCCAACCTTCTCTTGAGGCTTTCTTATGACAGAGAAGGAAAGAAGGACAAACAGAATTTGAAAATGCTCTATCTACATTGTTTTCACCTCAAAGCACAGAAAACAAAGTTTTGCACCAAATCAATGCACGATCGGCCCTCTGTAGGCCCGGCCGGCCATCAGTAATGCACGGCCAGCCCTTGGTGTGTGGCCAGCAGTGCAATTTTACAGAAACAAAGGCAGTGGTTGAAGGTGAAACAGAGGCAGTCTAGGTAGATAGAGTAGCTTTCAGGCGATGCGCATACAACCTCCATCCATCTTCCATGGTGCTCATATCGAATGCGTTTGATTGTTTAATTGTTTCATTAGTATAATGAATTGTGTTGTAATATTTAATTAGTCTAATTAGTTGTAGCTAATTAGTTGATGTTGTAATATTTAATTAGCTTAGCCTAGTTAATTTATTTTAATTAATTAACTTAGATAGTTAGTTAATTATTCATTTCAAGTGTTGTAATAATTAGTTAATTAGTTTAGTGATTTATTCAATTTTTTGTAATAATTAGCTTAATTAGCTTAGCTTAGCTTAGTTAGTTAGCTTTATTCATTCGGACTCTCCTTCGTGAGAGCGTAATGTAATAATGTGTATGTCTTCCAACTCCACGTCTTTCTCCCTTTTATTTAATCGCTTTTGATGGTTAGATTAGGGATATGCTTCGATTAGCATACCTTATGCTTGCATCCATTCATCTTGTATTGCATGCATCGAGGCTTGGCGTATCATTCAAACTGCATTGTCATTTCAATACTTAGATGAATACGTGTTTAACCGCATGTTATCAAAATCGATTTATATGCCATATTAGTAGCTGAGCCTATTAATTGCATTCTTTGCATGTGTTGCATTAGACATTGTGCATAGTTAGGAATCATGTATATTTTTCTAACTTATATCTTCTTAGCTTGAAGTACTAGGTGAGTTTTTATACTTTAGCATACTTGCATAAATGTGAATGTTGCCATGTCTAGCATGCTTGCCATGAGGCTAAATGCTTACTTAATAAACTGTTTGAATGCCTGTGGATGAAGACTTGTTGTTTGAATTGGAACGATTCAACAAATATGCGTTTTAAGCCCATTCTGTTGAGTGGCAAATCAGTTTTAAGCCCACTATGTTTGGTGGCAAATTCGCAAACTTTAAGCCCACTTGAGGTGGCAAATTCAAACCATTTTTAGAAACAAACATGAGTTGAATTATTCTAAATTGAGCAAACTAGTCTCTACTTGGTTGTGTGTATCACATAGTAAAGCTAGCCTAATAACCGGAACAAGAGCATATAATGTTGATAAAAATCATTTCATGATTAGTAGAGGCTGATCTTTGATCGGGCGAGCGGGGGTGCTCAATTCATGCTTTCCATCTGCTTTTGGCAGATATTTTATGCCAGCTGTTACAGCTGGCATCCACTTTGCACCCCCTCCATATACGTGGATAGAGGGATTTGCCTCTTGTTTAGCTTCTCTTAGAAGCTTTGCAAATTGAGCCTCTATAAAGAGGGAGCTCCTCCTCCCTCCTCAGAGGTTCAGAAAAAATTAGGTTAGAGAGGATAGATATAGTGTTGTATCTATCTTTCTTGATTTGGTCTTGTTTTGTGACCTAAAGTGAGTTTGGTCTTACTTTTACACTTGAACACCTAGTATTACACCACCCTTGGGTTGTTGAGGGCTTAGAAGGTTGTTGTTAGGGTTCTTGAGCTGATTTTGATCTGAGGAAGGTGCTGGAGTAGTGTTCTTGGAGAGGTTCTTCAAAAGTGAGAACATACTTTTTATTCCCCATTTTTGCACAAGCTTTTAGCCCATCTTGCCTATTGTTTTAAGCTTCGACTATAACTGATAAAAGTTATGATTTTGTGTGTTTTAGAACTTTGTTTAAGGTCACTTTGAAGTTTGGGGAGTAAACACAGTCAGCACAGAGCACAGATATCCTTTACACCCCTTTCTAATTAATTTACAGCTTTCACTGACGAAATCAAATACGGAGGAGGTACTACTCCACTCCCATTAAACACGAATTCAGGCAAACCAGGTGGACGGAAAACAACTTGCTTGGTCACACAGTCAATAGTGGCATGATATTTTTGTAACCAATCCATCCCCAATATGCAGAGTAATAATGCTGTTCAATGGTAGTAAATCAATAAACAGATGTATATCCCCAACAATGATTTCACATGCGGGGTACATATAAGCACATGTCATGGATCCTCCTACGGGTGATGATACGGCTAACAGATAGTTCATGGGTTCTAAGGGTCTATTCAATTTCCGTGAGAAAGCATGCGATACATAAGAATGAGTAGACCCCGAATCAATCAATACATATGCATTTTGTGTACAAATAGAGAAGATACCTGACACAACGGTTTCAATATTTTGCACGTCTGCCAGTACTAGGGCGAACACTCGGTCCTGCCTCATGGGCTCTTTCCCGGTAGCTTTGGGGTTAAGCTTTGGTGCTACAGTTGATGCTGATGCGCTTGGTGCAGCTTTATTACTGGCTTGTGGAGCAGAGGGGCAGTCTTTAACCATGTGGCCCACCTTGCCACACCTGTAACAGGCTCCAGATATTCTGTAGCAGACCCCCTTGTGCTTCTTGCCACACTCAGGACAGGGTGGTATAAACCCACTTCCTTGACTGGGGCTAGTTGTCGACCCCGTATTCTGTTTCTTGTTGGCTGGGTTGTGCTTGCCTTTCTTGAATTTGAAACCCTGCCTTTTACCATGCCATTCAGTTGTTGGTGTTTCAGATTGTTTCACCGCTGCAATGTTCGACTCGGCCATCAATGCCCGGTCGAGAACACCCACAAAAGTCGGTAATTTCAAAACATTTATCCGGTCAAGTATTGCCACATTAAGGCCACCTTCAAATTTTCTGGCCTTCTTATATTCAGTATCCACCATATGCGGTGCATATCTAGCAAGCTCGGTGAATTTCGTCTCATATTCCGCAACGGACATCGTGCCCTGCTTCAGCTGTTCGAATTCAGTCACTTTTCTATCCCTGACACACTGGGGGAAGTACTTTTCAAAGAAGGACTCCTTGAACTGAGCCTAAGTCATAACAGTATTTGTATCGCGGATCAACATCCACCACCTTCTAGCTTCTTCCTGTAGGGTGAAGGTAGCTAACAATACTTAATTCGCTTCGGAGCACGGAAACACTTCAAATAGTTTTTCTGTTTCCAGAACCCAAGCTTCAGCTTTTAACGGTTCAAGTCCTCCCTGAAAGGATAGCGGTTTCATTTTGCTGAACTTATGGGTCAGAGCAATAATATCCCCATCATTCACATTCGCATTAGGTTCCGGCTGAACCGGAGGAGGAGGAGGTGGGGACTGTTGGTTCTGTTGTTGTTCAAGTCTAGCAGTTATCAATTCCATCATTCTTTCCATTCTTTCCATTCTTGCCTCAGTAGATGAGGATTCAGGTTCATTTGCATTGTCCATTTCACTATAAGCAGTTATAACAGTTTTAAACATAAACAGTCATTTGTTTCACAGTTTAACACATTAGCATTTATTCAATCATAACATAACCACACACTTTTCAAGTTCATGAAATGCCCTAATCACTTTCCTAGGACACCCTGTAGCTCATTTGGACACGTCTGTGCGGTATGACTCGTGGTTAAGTATCGCTCTGATACCACTCTGTCACGACCCAAACTAGGCCCTATGGGTTTAGCACCGTAACCGGCCAGTAATCCGAGATTACCCAAGGCCTGCAGAACAGTAGTACAGGGCCTGGCGGAAGCCAAAACAGTAATTAAACAATGCCCAATGAGCTTTGACAGTCTGTATGCCAAAAAGATTTTTCATGCATTCGTATATTCACAACAATACAGGCTATACAAGCATTTACAAACATTCAGTACAGGGATCTAATCCCTTGATAACAGTACAATACAGTGGATAACAGTCTATACAGTAATACAAAACAATAACAGGGACCAGCGGGGGAAAAGACACCCCAAGCCATAGCATGGCGAACTCGGAACCTCACAGTGAGGCACTGTGGTTGGCTTGACAAAACTGGAATAACCCTGACGCCTCTAGCTTTGATTAAACCTGCAAGGAATTGCCTCAACCCATTTGGAAATATAATCAACAGCAACTAAGATATAAAGATATCAAAAAGATGAAAGAAAATGTCCCATAAAAAATCAATGCCCCAACGGTCAAATAGTTTAATCACTAAAATAGGGTTCAAGGGCATCATATTTCTATGGGTTATCCCTCCTAACTTTTAACAATGCTCACAAGATTTGCAAAAATTATGACTGTCCTTAAAAAGGCTTCGCCAATAAAATCCACACTGCAACAATTTTCTTTGAAGAAAAATGGCCTCCACAAGCTTCAGAATGGCAAAAGGAGATGACACTATTTATTTCATTATTAGGGACACATCTTCTTATGATTTGGTCTGGAAAATATTTAAACAAATATGGATCATCCCAAAAGAAATTCTTTACTTCAACCAAAAATTGCCTCCTGTCTTGTGCACTCCATTGACACGGGATCATGCTTGTAACAAGATAATTAACAATATCAGCATACCAAGGCATATCAATAATAATAAACAATTGCTCATCAGGGAAAGTATCTTTTAAGGGCATTGTTTCTATGGAGTCATCAAACATAAGTCGAGACAAATGATCCGTCACAACATTTTCTACTTCTTTTTTGTCTTTGATTGTGATATTGAATTCTTGGAGTAGAAGGATCCACCTAATCAAGCGAGGCTTAGCATCCTTCTTGGCGAGAAGGTACTTTAAAGATGCATGGTCAGTAAATACAACAATAGGTGATCCAACTAAATAAGCACAAAATTTGTCAAGAGAAAATAGTACAACTAGCAACTTTTTTTCTGTGGTAAAGTTGTTCATTTGGGCATTATTCAAAGTTTTACTAGCATAGTAAATGACGTATAGCTTTTTGTCCATGCGTTGTCCCAAAACAGCTCAAACAGCATAATTACTAGCATCACACATAATTTCAAAAGATAAAGACCAATTAGATGGTTGCATGATAGAGGCAAAAATAAACATGGTTTTCAATTTTTCAAAAGCCTCTTGACATTTATTAGTCCATTCAAAAGGTGCATCTTTTAATAAGAGATTACATAACTGTCAATTTGAGAAATCAAAGCCCAAGGGTGTTTAATTGAAACCCAATTTCAAACCATTTTTCAAGAACAATATGAACATGCAAACATGCATGAATTCAAATCATTTTGAAATTCCAAATTGATGCTCAAAGGAGCCAATTGTTTCCAAAACATGATGAAATCATGGACTTGAACATAATTGTGAACATGCAAGCAATATTTTGCCATGAACTCAACTCAAACTCCAACAACACTAACATGCATACATGAAATATGCTCTAAATCAACAACCATGAACCAATTCTAGACTTATTTCAGTAGAGGCTCAAGAATCTTGCATGAATAAGCTTAAACACAACAAGGGGGGGTTGAAATCCTTACCTAGAGCCTCAATTACAAGGTGAGAAAACTTAATTTGCAACCTATACTCCAATTCCTTCAATTACCAAGCAATTTACAAGCAAAATGAGATGAAATTCACTCCTCTAGTTCCTCTCTCTCTCTCTAAGGTCGGCAATGCAAGGAAGAAGGCTGAGGAAAACATTTTGATTTAAGTGTAATGAACTCAAAGGTGTATAGGTAGTGGCCCACTCAAGGGCAAGGTTGTAAATAAGTCCAATTCATCTATTTAACTCATTTTAATCTAATTTAATCATACCTAATCAGTTTTCAGATTATTATACCATAAAATCACATTAATTATGATGATCATAAAACACTAATCAATTTCTGGTTCGGCCGTCGATAAGGCCTTCAATTAGCAGTTTAAACATAAAACACGAACAGATAATCAAACAGTCAAACAGGTGGATTATGCACTTACACAGATACAGTCAGTCAATTAATTCCGGATTCCAGTCAGTCAATTCAGTACTTTAATCAGTCCAATTGTCAGTCATAATCAATTCGGTTTAACGGTGATCGATGGTTATCGGTAATCAATCAGTCATTAATCAGTAAACAGTATGAGGGTTGTTACAATAACGGTCTAGATATGGTACTAAAATCCTTAATGAATCTCCTATAAAAACTTGCGTGTCCTAAGAATGATCTAACATCTTTAACAGTCTTAACGGTAGATAGATTTGCAATTAACTCAATTTTAGATTTATCTACCTCAATTCCTTTAGAAGAAACAATGTGTCCTAGTACAATCCCGGAAGTAACCATGAATTTGCACTTCTCCCAATTTAACACAAGGTTCTTTTCTTCACACCTGGACAAAACTTTCTGTAAATTTGTTAAACAATCATCAAAACAAACTCCAAATACAGAAAAATCATCTATAAAAACTTCTAAAAATTGCTCCACCATATCACTTAAAAATACTTAGCATGCCCCTTTGAAAAGCGGTTGAAGCGTTGCATAATCCAAATGGAATCCTTCGAAAAGCAAAAGTACCAAAAGGACATGTAAAAATGGTTTTTTCTTAGTCCTCTAATGAAATTTCAATTTGGTAATATCCCGAGTACCTATCTAGGAAACAATAAAATGCATGTCCAGCTACCCTTTCTAAAATTTGGTCCAAAATGGCAAAGGGAAATGGTTTTTCCTAGTCATGGAATTTAATTTTCTATAGTCAATGCACATATGCCAACCCGTAACAACACGAGTTGGAATCATCTCATTGTTCTCATTTTTACCACAGTTATTCCAGACTTCTTGGGTACTACTTGTGTGAGACTTACCCATTTACTATCAGCTATGGGATAAATGATCCCCACATCTAATAGCTTAAGGACCTCTCCTCTCACAACATCTTTCATTATAGGATTCAACCTACGTTATATCTCCCTCGATAGTTTGGCATTTTCTTCCAAGTAAATTCTATGAGTGCACACTAAGGGACTAATTCCTTTAATGTCTGCAATGGTCCATCCTATTTCCCCTTTATGTTGTCTCAAAACATTAAGTAATTTACCTTCTTGCACACAGTCAAGTTTAGAAGATATTACCACTGGATATGTGTCCTCGAATCCTAAAAATGTATACTTCAACTCTGCAGGCAAAGGTTTCAACTCAAGTTTTGGTACTTGTTCACTTGATGGCAAAGGCTTACTATAGACGTCCCCGAACGTCCCGGAAGGGAATCCCGTTTTGTTCATTTGGGGCTCACTACAGTTCGGACTCAATGTCACGGTCCTGTATCTAATCTCATGGAGTGCAATACAAGACCGATGAATCATCAAAGAGTCGAAATCCGGCAAATCGTTTTTGAAAACAGATTTTTTTGAAAGAAGTGCCAAACATAGACTGCTTTGCCAGATACAGAGTCGCCACCTAAATATTTTATTTTGGAGAATTTAGGAAACCGACTCGTGTCTAAGGCCACGTGTCGTCATCACCACAAGTTGCCTCCGCCTCGGGAAACTTGGGTAAACGATTAGGGAAGGTCACTTCGTGAGCACCCACCCCGTTCGCCATTAAACCGATCAAGATCGGCCTCTACTAACCCTGATAATTGAGTTTTGAAAACATGTGTGTTTCTTATTTCCGGTTAATTAGCTTAGAATTTAACTATGTTGAATGCGCACAACACAAAGTAATAGACTACGATCGCCTAATTTGGAACAAAGCATCGCATACGCCGTACTGTTTTTTAAAACTACGTTTGAAGTTTGCTACTCGCAAGTAGGCTAAAACACGGGTTTCACGAATTTATTCCAATTCAAGCAACCCAACGCTTCACCCACAAGCATTCAAGCAATTATATCACATAAGCAATTAGCCTCATCGGATAAGCATTGCTGTCATGTTAACACTCACATACATGCAAGATGCTAAAGGGCCCAAAAAAAAAAAAAAAAAAAATACTTTTTCCCACAGTGTACTCCGAGCCAAAACAATGAACATGTTAGTATCCAAATGTATGATCCAAGTCCATGTTAAAAATGCTAATGCATCGAGGCAATAAGCAAACTAGAATAGGCCTTCGGCTAATCTAAAGTGGCAATATGAGATGTGACAATTCAACACATGTATCAACTTGAAATTTGGAAACACTAATGGCAGTTACGTATGATGAGCCGAGCCCGGTGCATACAATGTCTGATGAATGATGCAAACATGCATAGCATAAGGATGCTAAAATTGAAACGTGCCTCTAGGAACTAACCATGCGTAGAGCGGTTAAGTAAAAGGGAGAAAAGGAAGTGGCGGTTGGAAGACATGCATCACAGCACACGGCACGTTATTCACAATTGCGCCCTCTCGAGGACCGAAAGAATATACAAAACCAAATAATAAATTAACTACTTCTAGCTAAATTAATTATTAACAGACCACTGTTAACTAGTTAAGCAAATTAACTAAGCTAATAAAGCGGTAAAGCAGCCTTGGGAAGAGGGATAAATGCATGCATGCTCAGCTCCAACTGGAAATCCATCGCCATGCTCATGCTGCCTCTGTTTGCATTGTTTTCCTCTTCTGAAGACTGCACAAGTTTCCAAATTGCTTCTGAAATACTCCCTGAGAGTTGTAGGAGGCCACCGACCAAGAGGGAGCACCACCGGCCATAGAATTATGGTCATCGACCAAAAATTAGATCACCGGCTGGGTATTGATAGTTGGCCGGCTATGAAAGTTGCCGACCGACCATTTTTTCCTGCAAAATACTGGTTTGCTACAACAGAGGACAGACAAGACATGGCAATTCATTTTTAAAGCAATTTATGCACCACCACCCTCCTCAACATGTTTGAGATTTAGAGGAGCATGGTTCTCGACCCTCAGGCCATCAATAACGCATTTCAATGCATGATGGCCCAAAAGAGTCAAGCGTGCAATTCGATATCAAATGAAATGCACAAAACGCATAAGGGACCTTAACCTCTATCATGTGTGATCAAGAGGCAAGGCAATGCACATACAATGCTATGCAACCTAAGCATGCAAACAACTCAAGCATGTAAACAAGCATGCAAACATGCAAGCATGTAATCAACATATCAAATACATGACAAGATGCAAGCAAACAAGGATTCAAAATGCAACTTAAGCATGCAACGACATGCGATGAGCAAAGTATGCAACAACATACAAGGCGAGCATGCAACAACATGCAAAGGATGGACTTACACCAAGAAGGACAGCTCTCTAATAGGTCCAAAACAGTGGCCAATATGATGCAACAAAAGCATGGAATAGATATCCAAACATGCATGTACAAAGGCCTATCATCTAAGGAATAAAAGAGGCAACTCTTAAACACATTTAAAAGAGACTAATATGGACAAATGACAAGCATGCTAAGCTCTAAAATCATATTAAGAGTGGTGCCAAACCAATCAAACTACCCAAGTAAAGCATGCAAGGGAGTCCCAAAAACTTGAGGCTAGCCGAGGGGTTCAAGCCATGACCATATCAACCAAGCCCCAAAAGGCCAAGAGGACTTAAAACAGTCCCAAGGCAAACCAAAACAAGGTTAGAGCATGCATGGAACAAGGCCAAAACATGCTAAGAAACGGGCCCAAAACAAAGAGTATTCAAAGCTACAAAAAGGAGCATTGCTCTACACCCATCACAACCAAACATGGCATGGATTATTCAATGCAAAGCAGAATCATATCATGCCAAAATAAGCCCCAAAACCCACTTAGATGGCATCTAAATGGCCTACACATGATGACATACACGATGGTCCAAACATGGAGCATAAAATAGCAACTCTTTAAGGCATCAAAGGAGCATCAAATGTAAGTAAGTGAGCATGCCATATGGACTGAAATGACATGGTAAGTGACTCCAAATCACTGAAATGAGCTAAGTAATGCATGCTAGGGGGGTCAAAACTCAAAGCCTACAAGCTAGATTGCATGGTAGCTATACAAAGCAAGTCATGGACAACCAAAACAACCAAAATCAGAGCTCAAGCATGTTAAAACAAGGCTAGAAACTTCACAAAGTTGAGCCAAAATCATGCTAAAAACACATGTTATTACATGATGCATGTTAAGGCCAAAACATAGGATTACAAGACAAGTGTATGGAGCATACATGGCATGTCTAAACCAACTTTGGACAGAGGTAAATCATGGCAAAATAACACCAAATATCAACTAAGACATGGCCAACATGAACTTAAACAAGGTGCTCACCCATGAGGCAAATATGACAAGTATTGAAGACAACAAGGAAAGGGGATGGCCCTCTCCTTCTTAGGATCTCAAAACACCATCCCCACCACTGAAATCCCTCTGGATTTCAGTGGTGAGAAGGCCAATACAAGGTGGTCCCGGAGCTCACAAAAAAGGCACAAAAATGAGGCCAAACAAGGCCTAAGAGGGGGTAAACAACCCCAAACACCAAAGTAATCTAAACAACTATTTTAAGCACTTAAAAACAGAACTTTTATCAGTTATAACTTAAGCTTAAAAATAGATGCAAGATAGGCTAAAACCTTGTGCAAAAAAGGAGAATCTAAAGCAAGGAACTCACCCTTGTAGAACCTCTTCAAGAACCAAGCTCCAGCAGGTTTCTCTGATGAAAATCAGCTCAAGAACCTTAACAACAACCCTCTAATGCCTCAGCAACCCAAGGGTGGTGTAATGCTAGGTGTTCAAGTGCAAAAGTAAGACACAAACTCACTTTTGAGGCACAAAATGGGATCAAATAAGGGAATATAGATACAAAGTTGTATCTCACTCTCTAACCCTAATTCTCTGAACCCTGGAGGAGGGAGGAGAAGCCCTCCTCTTATAGAGGTTCAATTCTAAAGCTTCTAAGAGAAGCTAACCAAGAGGCAAATCCCTCCATACACGTGTATGGAGGGGGTGTATTGTGGATGCCAGCTATTACAACTGGCATAAAATATCTGCCAAAAGTAGATGGAAAGGGGTCGACCAGCAGAAATGGCCGATTGACCAACAAAATGGGTTGACCGACCAAAAACAATGCCGACTAACCAAAATATTTGGCCGGTAGCATGAAAACAGGACCGGTGGCCTCAAGCCAAGGCCAGTAAGGTGTGGGGATGGCGAACAAGCCATTCCCTGCCCTCAGAAGCAAAAACACAAGTGTTTGGTATATAACCAAGCACAAAACAGATAAGTTGAGAGATCTTGAGGCGAGGCGCGTAGCCGAGACCTCCGAGAACTCAAAACGAACACGAACATGGATGATCATCAAGTGTTCAAATGATGACGTCTAAGTCTTGAGGACGGTCAAAAATGGGGTGTCTACACTTACTCACAAAAGTTGGCAACCGCTTAAACTTTGGCTTCCATTTGTAGTCTTTCAATTCTTATGCAGATTCCAATAAAGAATAAATGTTGCAATTTTTGAATCTTCATCAAAATCATAAGAATTAACTAAGCAAGATTCTAGTGGATCAGAAAAATGGGAGTTATTGAAATGCTTTTCAACAAATGTATCAATCAAGTTCACTTCTTCAATCTCATCATTATCCCTTGGTTGTTTGCAAATATTGAGAATATTCAACTCCAAAGTCATATTACCAAAAGATAATTTCATCACATCATTTCTACAATTAATCAAAGCATTGGAAGTTGCAAGAAATGGACGACCTAGAATGACAGGAATTTGTGTGTGTATGCAAAACAGAATGTGTGTCCAATACAATTAAATCGACAGGGAAATAGAAGTTATCTATTTGAACCAATTCCACAATTCCCCTTAGTATTTTCACAGAACGATCTGCAAGTTGGAGTGTAATGGTAGTTGGTTTAAGCTCTCCTAAGGCCTAACTATTTATAAATTGTATATGGTAAAAGGTTCACACTTACCCCAAGGTCAAGCAAAGCTTGCT